GAAACACATTGTCGCCTGTAGTATTTCCAGACTGATGAAAAGCACAGAGAGCACACAAAAGCACAGAGCTAATATTATTATTAAGGAAGAAATGAAATTATATTAGCAAAGTAAATACAGGAGAATTTAGCACATACAAAATAAGCACAGACATAACGCTTTCGACTTGCTTGGAGCTTATACGCGTCGCGCTAACATATGTTATTCGTATGCCTGTGCTTATTTTGTATGTGCTAAATTCTCCTGTATTTACTTTGCTAATATAATTTCATTTCTTCCTTAATAATAATATTATTCATTCTGCTTTTGAACCTTCATTCATTCTTCCTACTTACTATCGCTCGCTTACTTAGTGCTTTCACGCGGGTTCGATACCCGAACGTTGTTAGTGTAGGCTAACCTAGCCGAGCACTACACTACCTTCAAGATAAGAGCGTACTCCCACCTCAAAGGCCGGCAACGTGCTTGTTATTCCTGAGTTGCAGTCGTTTATACGCAGTGGTAAGTAGAGGCTTTTTAACTTCTGAGCCAGAGGCAGTGAGTTCGATTCCCATCCAGGACGATTAACTGTGTGAAGAGTACTATATTTTCTGTCTGATTATAACTTATCTGTTATATATTAGCTCGTGAGGTATTTCAGCTAGATGACAGCGACTTTACTAGACTTAAGTTATTAAAAAGACACAAACAAAAACAACATACAAAAAAGAAAACATTAAAAATCATTACAGAATACCATTGGCAACTGCGGAACAGTGATTTATGAACATACAGTTTAGCCGACTCGTAGGCATGCTTAGAATACTGTTGGCGCTGCCACGACTTACCACTGGCACTGCAATTAACTAGACACGATAAAGCTTTAGTACTTGCCTTATTTTAAATAATAATCTAGTTATACTTTCTGTCACATTACACTGAAACTCACACTGTCAATATAAATACCTAGAAGTGACAACATTACTGTTTTCTTCTTACAGTTCAAATTCATTTATACGTAAATAGTCGTATGGAAGAGTGAAGTAACAGAAATGATTTACGAATTTAGCTGTTACTGACTCAGGAATCTTGTTCCATAAAACCAAATAGCGTCAAGGTTTTTTTGTCGTAAGCTACTGATATACTATTTATGACATTGTCACATTTTGATGATAGGTCTCTGTGACAACTTAACAACAAATGAAATGTAATTCATATGATTTGAGTTTTGCTTTCTGATAACATTGAGAAATAACCCTCAGAGGCTATAAACTAAATAAAAAAGTCAGGTGATGAACGTGATTTTGTGTAAAATTAAAAGGAGATTAATAGAAATGAGATTAATAGGACCTAGTAAGAAAATATAATGAAGTTACGCGCTTCAATTCGCCTCCGTCATGTCAATTTCAAGTAACTTATAATTATTTTGCCACTTTTGTTAAAAAGAATTAACCCTAGATATTATATGCTATATACACATTCTTAGCCGCATGAAGTTGAGTGAATTCTGTAGTTCATTAAACTAAAATAATGAATAAATGATACACGTCAATCTTTACATTTTGGTAAATATTACTGTTTACCTATTGCAAATTATTTCATGGTAATGACTACAAAGTTTAATGTGCGCTACCTCTTAAATTTAATATAAAATCAGCCTTCCCACAGAGTTAACGGCTATTGGCTATAATTCATGCGTAATACGAGTAATCGTGATTGGTTCATGCTTTCGCTTCGAGGCTAAACACCGAATGATTCGTTAAATATCCCCTACATTTATTCTGAGTTCATCAGACTCCATGGAAATCATCGTTAAACGATAAAATTGTGCATAAATAGGTTTATAGGCTGCTGATATCAATATTTTATTGCCTAAATATTTACTACATGAAGAGTACGATAAACAGAGCAATACGTTAAGGCATTTCTTGGAGAACGTTCATTGGAGGAGATCGTCACTGCGCAATCAATTATTAATTTAGCACGGATTTGTTGATGTCGCACTGATCCACTGATTATTGTGTGGCAACTCTCAGATGATGTGATGATGTTAATGAACCTGGAGCGAACGTGACGTAAACTTATCACAGCTCATCCCTCGGAGTTTATTGACATTATACGAAGGGCACTCTCGGTGAAGTGCAACAAGGTTTCAAGGAAGTTTGCGCGTAGTAGTGTTGAGGTCAAGAAATTTAAGTTTTTATACGTGTCAACTGTGAACCCAATTTAAAAAATCTTCCATGAGTAAACTAAGGATACAGCACAACGATGCCTATAGAGTACTCATGAAGTATCTGAGATACTGCAGCGCTTCGAATATTTTTCAAACATCACCGAAGCAGTGATGTCTGATTTCTTTGCAGTTGTTCGGATCGAATTGCATCGTTCTGGCCGATGCTAAAGAGTACGGGGAATAATGAGAGTTGTCAGTGAGGTCATGGGTTGCCCAATTTTTAAGCACTGGAGCCGCGTTCATCTGAGTCCAAACCGTAAATAGATAGATACAATTTAATTCAATTATTTAGATCTTAATTATTAATATTTTATTTTAAGTTTTAAATTAAATTAAAATTATTTAGATTTTAAGTATTTAATTATATTTATGTCTGAATTTTAATGATTTTTTTTTATGATTTTAATTATTATTTGAAATTAATGTTGTTATAATTATTATAATCTCATCATCATGTATTTTTTGTTTTATGAATTCCTGTGTTTTTGTAATAATTATGGGACTGATATATTAATACCTGCAATATATTAATTATTATTATGGGGTCTGTTAATTTTCCAAATAAAATTTTCTGAAATATAGGTTGTGATTAACAGATTTTTTAATAAAAGTCTAAATTTACTCAAATTTATACTGGATAGTTTTATTCAAAGATACAAGTTTACTCTGAATATATCACTGTACAAATTTTACTAAGCTGAACGTAAACAAATACACCGAGAAAAAGCGAAATTTACATAATCTCTACAGCTACATATGAAACTCTCCATAATAAGTTAACATGTGGCCTGTATTTTAAAGACGTCATTTTATATTTAAATTCATACATCTCAATAAAAGGCAACAAGAGTCTATCTGAAGCCAAGTTATAAAGTATCAAAATTTTGCTTCTAAAGAAGGTATATTTTTCTTGGATAAGAATCTTATCCTTCGGAGATTAATACTCGTATAATGTTCCAACCCCTTCTATACTAAGAAAAAAATAGGTATATCTTTCAAAAACCTTAAGTACTTTTATTCCGTATTAAGAAATATTTGGATTCTTCATTAATGAGTGTAAATGTGTTAAAATGACAAGTCGTTTTATAACATTATATACCTACCACTAGATATTTTGTTATGTTACTATAAAAACTTATATTTATCAATAAGGCTAAAAAGATTCCCATTTTTCTTTTGTCGCTACATTCAACTGAAATACAGTTTCGTCTTGTTATATAACAATTGGTTGGAATTTCATCCAATTAGGGATAATAGGACCTTACGTTACGAGCGCCCATACCTGACACCTAACTATATTACCTATGGGATCCTTTCGGGCAAGTTAATAACTTGTCATTATTATAATCTGTCTTTGAAATAGATTTTCCAATAAATCATTACAGAAGAGACCTGTATATTCTTTACAGTGACTATTGAAGGCAGATTTAATCTAAGCTTTATCTTGTACGGACGGAAACTAGCATGATAACAATTATATATAAGGAAAAAAGTTCACTTTGTTAGTAAGCAAATTATACGCTGTCCGTGTGGTGACGGATTAAGAATACAGAGTTTTACCACCCCTATTTAAGAGAGCGAGAGAGAGAGTAAGAGGCGACTAAGGGAGCAAACTACGCAGGACAAGAGCACCGCAGAGAGAAGGAAAACTTGACACAAACCCTATACCAACCCGTCTGGCCAGCGTGGTATAGTAGGCCAAAACCTCTTTTCTTAAGAGAGGCCTATGTCCTGCAGTGGACTAGTAAAGGCTGTTGATGACGATGATGATGAAATTATACGGAAATGTATGGTGTGTTGAATTGTATAGTTGTTGTATTTTATGTTTATTTTAAAAAAGTGTACCATAACAATACGGAAGTATTTCTTCCCTTTTTTAGTTATTTATTGCACTCTAATAATTTTGTCGAAGTTATTTTATTTATTATAACTTCATACGTCTGACACATGAAAACAAAAAAAAAAGTAAAAAGCCCACGCTTTTTTCAAATTTATTAAAATTTATTTTCTATTTTTTAGTTTGGTTTTCTATAAAAAACGTGTTTTTTAGTTTTTTTAAACTATTATGTTAAATGTGTTATTGCCCAGGCCCGTCAAATATAACTATTATATTTGACGGGCCTGTTGGTCTAGCGGTTAGTTACCCTGACTGCTAAGCCGGAGGTCGTGGGTTCGATTCCCACCCAGGACAAATGTGTGTGTGTGATGAGCACAATCATTTGTTCTGTGTCTGGGTGTAATTTATCTGTAATATGTATTTAGAAATATATAAGTATGTTTATCAGCAGTCTGGTTACCATAGCACAGGCTCTACCTAGTTTGGGATCAGACAGCCGTGTGTGAGATGTGTAAGGTTATTAAAAAAAACAAATATTTTTAATATTTTTTATTTATTTTTTAAATTAGTGTATTGTCACCGGTCCTCGATATATCTACAAAGTTTGAACGAATTCTGACCGTTTAAAGTAAGTCAAAATCACACCCAAAGGAGTCGGTTACAAACAAACATACAAACATACAAGTGAAGCTAATAATATGATAATAATAAAAAATAAATTTAAAAATCGTGTAAAAAGTAATTTAGATCACTATAATACTGAGAAAATAAGCTGGTAAATTACACAAAGGTTTGAAATAAGAACTAAGTTTTTAAAACATTTTATTACTTTTTACAGTCAGTCAGTCTTACGCGCATAATTAATTAAAAACAAACGTGTATATTATGTCATTAAAAAGAAACCTATGAAATACAAGTAACTGGGACAAGGTCTTTATGCAGGAACACTTATCAGTACGAACTGTAAGTATTGTAGTTATAAGAAGGTTTTTGATACGGGCGAATTGGAGCAGAAGGTTTTGGTGTGTCGCAGTCCTCCCACAACCACCAAATGGTTACCAATACTTCCAGATTTATTAAAAATAACGATATAAGAGGTATAGTTAGTTTACTCATAAGAGATTTTATACCTCCTTTAGCTACTAAAAGCGGTTTCACTATTCCATTTATAACGAGATCTGTTAAACCGTTCATTTCGAGGCCATCTGTCGAAGATCCGGAGAATAAAGCAAGAATTAAGTTTAACAAACCACTCACTTTGCTTGTCATTTTTGTGGACACTGGCTTTAAAAGCGTGGGAAGACCAAGTTTCACCGACGCAGCTTTGGGTATTAGTGCTTCTGGCGCTATTGGGGCAGATGTCGGTTTCCGGTAATCTTGAGTAGATCCATATCCTGGTGAATTTAGCAGTGGGTATGGACCGGGATACGCCCGATACGCAGAATCATTGCTGTTACGTTCCATGTTGTCCGCACGAAATTGTAACGCCTCTCGTTCTTTTGTATGTGCTTGTATGGTATTAAAATCCTCAATATAGTCATGGAAGCTGGTTTCGTGATTTGGGTTATTATACGTGGATGTTGATAACGGGGGATCACCATTGGTATGTAAAATTTTCTGTTGTGGTCGCTGTGAATTTCTGCTAGTAGAAAACTGTGACGAAACTGGATACTTATCCACAGTTCGAACTTCGAATGGCGGCATTAACATTATAGTTTCACCCGGATATCCAAATACAGGTAGAAACTTTAATAATACGAGCAATAGTATGCACACTCGACTCATGGTGACTAAGTACTTAAAGAAACTGTGACACTGTTAAATACTTACAAGTTAATAAAATATCGATATGCAAGCTGGCAATTCGCATTAGAAGTATCTGGGTCACAAAATGAGTGAGGCAGCTGCATTGTCCTACTTAATTGAATGTTAGTAAACATTAACATGTCAGCTTATATCGATTCCAGAACTACAGTCCAAGGACATACACTGAGCTATTTTATCGTCAGCTAAAATACTAAGCACACTTTTGGCAATAGTACCATCTTCTTCCAGGTCATCGATTAAAAAAAATGTAACTGTGGCTCCTATGTAACTACTCCAAGTACTCCTCGAAGATCTTTGTATAACGCAGGCAATCCTTTGTGAGCAATCTGAGATCATTCTTGATTTGTGACCTTTTCTCTTTTTCTTCTTGAAATATTTAATCATTTTTGATATCATTGGCCACAAGAAAAATACTTTTAATCCCAATTTCATAAAAAGTGTAAAAACAATGGGTAGCAAAAGCATTTTTCCAATCAATAGTTTTAAGAATGCTATGACTGCTGCTGACATCAAAATCTTAGCCGCGCTGCCAATAATATTTGCTAGGGATGATAAGGTATCGCTCTTTGGGCATGACACGTAATACGATGAGTCGCTATAAGACTTACGTAAGGGTTCCGAGTATATATTTGAGGCACCAGTAAATAAATCCATAAATGGTAAAGGAATTGTCTGAGTTGGCGTCGATGTACTCAAGACATGGTCTTGAGAGCTCACCCGTGACGCAACAATAACCAACACGAACAACACGAACATAGCTCACAAACTGTTCCGCTTCAAATAGTTCAGTTAATTTAAAACCTTGCCCATGAAATTGAAATTTCAAGATGTAAAATGCAAAGATAAATAATTTCCACTGTATAATTTAAAGCAACGGTACTGGCTTCGTGTTCAGAACAATTAGGTACTTTGTAGAAGTATTTCGTGTCATCAGGGTAATTAAAATAAACTAATGTCATAGCTCCAAACAATAAGATACCTTTAACAATGCTATGATCATCCTATTTTTGTTTTACATAATACAAACAATAAATTACTTACAGAAAAAAAAACAACATAATAACTAGGCGTTCTAAACTTGTTGACCTAAGGCACAAAGCGTGAACATAAAAAAAAGTTAGTATCTATCTCGATGGTTGCGACTCGAAATTAATAAACAAGGAGTATTACGATATAAATGAAATAGTTAATGTGAATGCGTACAAATGGTTGTGCTTACAAGAAGTGCATACAAAAAATCTTTTGGATGTTCAAATAGTAGTGATGTGTCACAAAAAAATGTTATTCCACCTTGGTGCTCATCAGGTTAGTTTGTTCTAAATTTATACATATGTTGTAGGTACTTCATAAACAAACTTTGATTTAAATGCCATCTTAGTATAGGCTTGTTAGCAGTAAAGATAACATTTTATGTGATAACAATAAAGAATAAAATAAACACAAGCCATTTTAAAATATTTACATTATTTCTTTAGCCAAGCTTATTTTTTTACAGATAATAAACCCTTTTTGAATTTCGAACGCAAAGTTTACAACGTTGTTTCTATAATTTGTGAATTGTTGATGAAATGGCAATATCTATGCCTAATGGAAGCAATTTTTTTTTCAAGATCATTAAATTAGTTTTATTAATTATTCAGAATACATTTAGATATACTTTTAAACTAGTTACTTTTCAATGAATTGTGATTGAGTAAATAAGTAAATAGTAAAAACATGAGTACAAACGCGCACAGAAATGCTAGCTTGGAGTCCATGAATAAAATAGAGCAGTTCAATCTTACATTACCTAATTTATTATTGAAGTCACTACAGAGCCCATATCATTTTGTATCGGTGCCTGCCTATCTTTTATGGGAAATAATATAAAGGTTTTAGGACACGTGTATGTTTTACACACATTAAAAAGTAACTGAGTAATATCTTTAACGTTAGTAATATACGATTAATAATAATTTTAGTCGGTAAGAGTCCGACAGACCCCTTCACCATCCCCCACTGAGCGAAGGACATCCATGAGGATCTTCTACCACATTAACAAAAAAAAAAGGCTCTACAAAGTTAGGTGTTATTATTACTAATATAAATATATAATCATAGTAGTCGTATGTTTTTCACTTTTTTACACACTAGCATGCTGGATATGTATACTGCTAGTGCACACCGGCGTAAGATCCGAGTATTTTATAGTAACCAACTTAGGTATGTGAAACTATAACAGAAGTAACTATTTAGTTGCAATGTTTGAGTGAACAAACTTTGTCAGAAAGGGAACGCAAGTGCTCCAGGATGCCAGAGACACTTTAGCTTTAATTTAATATCATCAGTTTCTTGTGTCTTACTGTGAGAAAAGGTTCAGTTGATTTTTATAAAAGTATAAAAACTTAGAGTAATGAGAGCATTTAGTTCCAAACGCTAATTCCCCGTGACCTTGGGACTTCACGAAATGATAAACGCCATGTCATTTGACTATTTCGATTTACTTCATAGATCACTACATTGGTTACGGTGAGAGGTCGTTTAAGCCGGCAAACAATGGGAACAGCACAGTCACCTACTTTTGTTTGTCGGTTAAAAAAGACTAATAAAAATTTGAAATAATAAACCACTTACCAGATTTTAAAAATTCTTTCACGTATGGAAAGCTACATTATAAACGAGTAACATATAAAACATTCACGCGGGCGGAGCAAAAGCTGTTTTGTTATAATCTTCATATTATTTTATTACATAGTTCTCGTTATAAACCTTTGAGCAAATGTTAGAAGAATATAACCATTAGCTTTCACGAACCAATACACAAAAACAGTGAAGGTACCAGGATCTCCTTACCAAGATAAATACTAAATACACACAAAAGAATATTAACACTAAGTAGTATTAGCAGATCAGTCAAATTCGCACTCAGTCCCAAGAAGTTATAGAAATCTCTAGGGAACGAAAATGCACATCACGTGTTCACTATGCAGAAGTACGGAGCAGCAACAGGATTGCAGCACGAAGACTGTTACGATGGGTATGAAGAGCTATATATTTTGCACCTGAGAACTTAGTTTTCGGCAGTTTCACTTCTGCCGTGTGTGAATTGCACACGCACACTTTTTTATCAAATTGAATAATTCCGGTTTTAATATATGGCGCTGTATATTTTACACATCCGTACGATACTAGCTTTTGCCGGTGGCTCAGCTTACCTGTATATCGGTTATCGCAGTAAAAAGTAGCCAATGTTACTCGATCATAATGTAGCTTTCCATTGGTGAAATAACTTTATAATCGGTTTAGTGTTTTAGGCGTTAAGGCGTAACAAACAAACAAACTCATTTTTACATTTAATAATATAAGTATGAAACTATGGATTAACGATACACTGTTGGCCTTAACAATGTAACGACAATTATCGTAATTTTATAAGAGTCGCGTATATTTAAATTTGTTTTACACACGCAAATGACATTTCTGCAAGTAAACATTAACATACTACATGGCATCTCGGTAATTTACATTATTAATTTCTTTGTGGGTTATTAAATATCACCTTCACCTCTCTTCGTTAAAGAAACTACGTATTAAAATGAATCCAAATATGTAATAATTCGCCTTTATGGAATGGGTTCGTGCGAATCAGTATGCATATTAATTAAAATGTATTATTTTCAATTTTATCGGCGAGGTCCTCATACCACCTACCGAATTCAAAACACCTTTATCTTGAGCTTTCTTTATTAGAACAATGGTAAGTTTCTTACACTCGAAGTCGAGTTTTTAAAGATTGAGTGTCTTAGTTTTAATTGATGACTTAGGCAACTTTTCGGGATCTCTCAAAAGGAAATGGCTTTTTAATTGTGAATTAGTAATAAACAGGGTATTATTTAATGAATGTCAATAGAATCTTGGGTATTAAATTTTAATTTGTACCTATCTGCGTCTAAGTCTTGCTTTGTGTACTTGGTTTAGCGACGGGCTGGAAGTTTCAACGGCCCTAACTAATAAATCTCGGTCTATATAATGTTTTTAAATTGGTTAAAAATAAAGACGTACAAAGGAAGACATAGCAACACAACACATTATAACAAGTATTGTATAAACCGTTGAATCAAATATTAAACTTAAAAGCACTCACATAATTTAGTGTTAAACCATTTCGGTACCTTTATATCTCATATCATAATTTAAAAAAAAACGTATGAAAACATTACTCAGACATAATGTAACTTCCTATTAAGGAAAGAACAATTAAAATCAGATTAGATATTCGGAACCCTCTACGAATAATTTCCTAATTATGAAAATTTTACAACGGTGTAGATACTCTATCTTCATAGTCAAAAGGAATAGATACATAGACCCAAAAAAAAACAGAAACATTTTAAGTAAATACAGATCCAAGATTGTTAGCAGAAAATTAAGTTCATGTTAGAATAATCCGAGCAATCCAAAACCAGATTTGACCTGGTCCGAATTGGCGTAATGCAATTGGAGCATGCCGCCACCTGCCCCTACTGAGAGTAATGACGCCCGCTTGCTAAATATCAAACCAATTATGCTTCACTGTCTAATTAAGCTTGTCTAAAGTTGGAGTTCAAAAAGTTTTGATGTTAGAAGTTTAGTTAGTTGGTCGAGACTTGATCAAAAGTCTATGTATAAATTGACAGACTCCACACAAGTTCTTAATTATTTTTCAAGTACAGAATATTTGGTAGGATGAACAAGATATCAGATATGATATATGATGATATTACCGGTGCTATCATTAGCTAATTTCACTTAAGATTCAACTTTTTTTTTAAATAAGAGTCTTAGGTTAGGTAGGCTTGCACGGCAGTACATTATTTTACATTATTATTTTTTTAAATTACGAAACTGACATCTACCAAATATTTCAAATGAAGGGAAACGCATGGGGGAAAAAATTAGTCCTCACCTTCCCATACCAATTTAAACTGGTTTGTATATCATAGCTACGAAACTCAAAGATTTGAATGGAGCTTTTTTTAAATACTGATTTAATGTATGTGTTTCTAAGTTAAGCGTTTTAATTACGTTCCTATAAAACAAAAAAAAACATTATGGTTTGTTATGCATAATGTATGGAAATTATTTTATAGGAATTTACTTCGGGACTTTTAACATTGATATGTACTGATCAAAAATTTAAACAACTATACATGCACAATTACTCTCCTTAATATTAAATTTTCTAGCGCTCGTAAACAAAAAGTATAAGTACATAGCTTATTGTAGCGATCTAACAACTGCCCTACTTATTTATTGATGTGGACATATGTTTACGCTTCATTGCTGGTGAATTATGAACAACGTATTAAATAAAAATTGTACATACATTTCGCATGAAGTATGCCTATAATTTTGCAAAAGGAACGTCGGTATTGATAGTCTAAAATACTGTTAATTAGAAAATCAACCGTAACCCATCTTTTGGCTAGACCAAAGCAATCGTAAAGCGAGCTATGAAACACACTAAATTACTACTAGCCCGTGATAAAATGTTCCGGCTATCAACGAATTAATAAAATGTCATCCTTTGATTTGTTTCGTTTTAGTGCGGTTGCACGACGAGTACTTATTTTACGATAGCATTAAAACCGAAAATACTATGCTTGTATTTCTACATATTGTTTATGTAATACTATTCGTTTAAACTGAATTATTTTTGTACCATTTTATTGCATTGTACCTACACTAAATGAAAGACTGAATACAAAATGTTTATAGTTTCCATTTTGTTGATTTTTTAGGGTATATATAAGGGGGCAAACGAGCAGAAGGGTCACCAGATAGTGACTACCGTGAGTCAGTTGAAATAAAAATAAGCACCCACACCACACACAAAAACTCGGGTTTTAAGTGAGAATATGTAAGGTTGTTCACATATTCACTTAAAACCCGGTTTTATGTCTATTAAAAACTTTTTACACTTTTTGGTTTCTTATAGTTGCAGTATTAAAATTATACATAGTACACGAAATATACGTAGGTACGATGTACAACACACATGTACATGTACATGTTAGAGTTAAATATTGCTGGTATTGCAATTGATAATAACTGACAACGAAATCCTATTTTAGCTTCAATAATATTCATTATAAAACTCTTTATGCGCGTTTTGTCGTCGCGTGATTTCTTAGAAACATTCTAAAACCGTCACCATTATTTCTGCTACCGTTGAATACCTTGTTTTTGTCTTAATTATGTTTCGATTTATTTTGAACTTCGAGAAGTCTCGACAAGAATCAAGGTAGAATCAAGATGTAGCATTCTTAGCTTCACCTTTCTCATCATCATCATCAACAGCCTGTATCATAAAATAAAAGACAAAGGATCTCACGCGGTTATTCTGTTCTATATCTACACCCGCAAAATTTAGGTGAAGGTGACGTTGTAGTCTGTCCCCAGGGCTATCATATTCTAAGAGAATTCTTACAGAGAATAATGAAACGTAAAATTTAATTTATGGACCCATTTATCACACCGGAATCGAATTAGACCTACTCGTTTCTATTTTTTATGAATAGATGAATAACAAAAAACCGTGACGAAGGAGTCACAAGTATAATAGTAGTAAAAGTAAATTTTCATATTTTGTATTCACAACTTTAGATTTTTTTGTCGAGTTACTTCGAGCTAGTTCGACAGAGTTTTAAAAAGATTTGAGGCACTGCAAGAATATTTTCAATTCAGTGTTTCAACAACGAAATATAACATTTTAATGTTTATTTTTGTTAAGGTTACACGCATAAATCATGTATAATAAGTTAAACTGTTAGCTTGAGAAAACTGAAAGAATGATGGTAGTAGGTAAATGTAACCGACTAATAAAGAAAAGTATCACTATAAGTCTTGTACCTATCTATTTAAATGTCTCTATATCTATTTAAAATTCGGCAAATTCCTCCGTAATGGAACCCTACACTGCGCGTGGCGTTTACACAACTGGCCTTTGTCCTTATTTTTAACCCCGACGCAAAAGCGACGGGGTGTTATAAGATTGATGTGTGTGTGGGTGTGTGTGTGTGTGTGTGTGTGTGTGTGAGTGTGTGTGTGTGTGTGCGTGTCTCTGTCTCTGGCATCGTAGCTCCCGAACGGATGAACCGATTTTGATTTTGTTTTTTTTTGTCGATCGAATCGATCCAAGATGGTCGCTGCCACAAAATGACGGATTATATATTTTTCACAACTCCCACAATATGGGTATCAAATGAAAGAGCTTGACTAGTAGAATACTACACTATGAAAAATTACAAATCCAAGATGTGTCGAGGTTTTCTTAAATTTTTAATGAAAAAAAAATATTATATGCTATTTAAGTAGGAAATCGATAAGATCCGTGTGCGTTAAAATATCCAATTTTTGCTTTTTTCTAATAAACATATCCAACCTCACACCCTTATTATTCTTACACTACCCTAATAGCCGTCCGTGTAGTGACGGATGAAGAATACAGAGAATAAGAAGCCGACTAAGGGAGTAAACTAGTAAGAGAAAACTTGAAACAAACCAACCAACCTGTCTGGCCAGCGTGGCATAGTAGGCCAAACCCTCCTTTCTGAGGAGAGGCCTATGTCCAGCAGTGGACTAGTAAAGGCTGTTGATAATGATGACTCTAATAACTAACAATTGCAATCACATCGATACTATTTTATTTTAAATGATTTCTTTCATATACCTAATACCATTTTCAAAGGGAAAGTGTGTGAACGAAGGAAATCCAGGCAAGTTGCAAAACCGAAATGGGAAATGCGATCCACGTACCCGTTACGGGAAAACATCTGGGAATATCTGTACGAAAATAATGTCGATCAAAACTTCCTCGGTAGCAAGAAAAGGAGAACCAAGAGATGTAAACAAACATCAGTGCTGAATCGTACATGTAACAGGAGTACGGCTTGCTTGTTTGTTATATTGATTCTTGTGATGGGAACAATAGGTTAGTATAGACTTTGTTTTCCTTGCTAAAAACTTATAAGTTTAAGAGATGATTCATGTTTTGAAGTCATATTTGCTCAATTCAAGCTAGAAGGATAATAAGGATTTTATGTACTTATGTATTTTAATGTTTTAGACAAAAAGTTTTTTTTTATGTTAGAGGGGGCAGACGAGCAAACAGATCACCTGATGGAAAGTTCCCGCCCATGAACATCTGCAAATCAGGAGTCACAATCACGTTGGCGGCCTTTTAGGAAGGAGTACGCTCTTTGTCGTGTGTCGCAATCAAACGACAATGGAAGCCTTAAATGGTATCCTATCTAAGCTCACACTAACACTTATACCCTAACTTTAACTATCTCCATACCAAATTTTATCTAAATCGGTTCAGCGGTTATTGATTCCCCTTACAAACTTCCACCCCCAATTCTTACCCCCTTAAAGGATGATTTCTGAGATAGAAACTATCCTATGTCCTTTCCCAGGACTCAAAATATCTTTATCCAAATTTCATCTGAATCGGTTTAGTGGTTTAAGCGTGACGTGGAACAGACAGATAGATAGATAGACAGACAGACAGACACACTTTCGCATTAGAATATTAGTGTATAGTATGGATTGTTGTTAAATCTGTTAAGTATATTTACATTTACAACAAACTAAAAGTCATGCTTTTACTGACAAAAGTAGAACAGAAGTAATTATTAAACAAAATGCTTTGATTTTATTGTATTAGCAATCGTAAAGACTCTTAAACTCCACTTTTATTTTCAATTTTTTTATAAACAGATGAATTCAGCTTATACTAGTAGGCGATGAATAAAATTAGTATTGTAGCATCAAAAGAGATAATTGACTTAGTTTCAGTGTCATTTTGGAAGGAGAACCTTGAAGGAGACTTAACGAAGTTAATCTCATTATGTAAGTACCTCCTACGTAATTGTATTTCTTAAGACATTCAGGTCAATTACTAGTAATCACACTGGTCTTTCGTAACAAAATTCTCTTTGTTTCTTAGTTATTTAAGAGATAATTGATATAATAGTATTTCACTAGGGGCTTGATAGATCTATTCACAAACGGGGCTTGTGAGATTTAGGTACAAAACCTCAGTTAGGGATATGTTTTGCAGGATGACAATGAGACATATTTGTTCCGTTTCCGTGAGCTAAGCCTTTGGTAGAAATACATTTTTTCTGGTTAAACACCAGACTTTATCTTAGGTCTATGTGAATTATTTTATTCTTAGCTCTATATTCTTAACGATAATTCTTGGTGGAGAGAACTTCATTACACTTATACTAGGTAGAAGTGACAAATCGTTTCTTATTAGTTTTAGACCATTATAAAAATACTTTTAAATTAGGTACTGTCCAGTGTGTAACTTGTCTAAATAACTATGAAAGTAGGTGCTGCTGGTAGTAGAGATCACAAAATGAATCATCATCATCATCAGCCTATCGCAGGCCATTGCTGGACATAGGTCTCAAAATGAATCAAATCTCCATAAATATGGACCTGAGGATTTTCAGTATTCTAACCGCGTGTGTTCAACCTTGCCGTTGAGAAGAGATCTCACATTCTTAAAACAAAATAATATCTTATTAGACTACATAGAGTGACTTCACTATGCATTAAATACTAATTGCCCTTACGATTTGTTGAGTATGTCAAATACTCGCAGTTTTATGCTTACGTAATAAATTGTGTCAGTGCCGTATAGAAACGTGCTTATCGCTTTACTGCATTTTGTTTAGAAATGATGCAAATGCAAAATTAATTGTAATGACGTAAACCCAACAAGCAACGCTAACTTCCTTATTGTCTATTTTAAACTATTCAAATTTTCAAGGCTGTAATGAGCTTGTATTATACAATATGAGGTCAAGTAAATAATGTACTTATACACAACATTCAAGTTTCAGTATCCTATCGGATAAAAGAATTTAGTCACGTGTAGTTATGTGTATTTCGGCAATGGCTGAATAGCTTAGGTCCTGACGGACGGGATCCCCTTTCAAGGAGTGAGGTCCCGCTGCAACGGTGTCAGGCGTGTTATGAAATGATGAATATTACCTACTTAGTTTTCTAATCCCATCTAAGATCCATTTTCATTATATTAAGTCATATCATATTTACATATCATATCGTATACATATTTATTTTACCTAGGTAGTACTCACCAGCCGAAACGCTGCTAAATATTGCTTAGACCTCTGATATTACAAAGACTGAAGGTCCTTACTTAATCCAACAGTTCCGACTCTATTAATTTATTGTAGGTTATTTCTTGTCTACCTTACGATAGGTAACTATGGTAGATATATTACGTCATTAAGATCATACAAAATTTATCAGATTACCTACTGACTAATCTTAGTAGCTATCGATCGTTTTGTCCAATTTCCAGTTCTCTATAGTCCTAAAAGATAAACACAACACATAAGTAATAAACTTTGTAACTACTACCAACTTACACATAGTGAAGCTTTTCCAATTTAACTTATCTGACCATGTTAGTGGGGACAGGTGCAGGTCGATAATATAATACATGTTCTTTTCATAAGTTCCTAATACTTACGCTTACATGTGTATGGGAAAGCTACGCTTACATAAATAAAAATATTTTTTTTCGTCAAAATTCCTGTTTAATTGATATTATGGAATAGCCGTAATATTCACTTAGGAATACTGAAAACAACATTCAAGCAAATACATTCATAACAGTAACCGATTATGCTTTGTCTGATTCAGCCTTCTCTGATACGCATACATCAGTCAGCTTAGAATGTTGTCATAGACTGAAGTACTTGACCGAAGAGCTTGCTAAGGCTGAACAAACTCTCAGGTAATAACTGAACTTTACTCGTACTTCACTGTTGATCTAACAATATTATTGCATGTGTGTTAAAAGAAAACTTTTATTCTAGATTGTTAAATTGGAGCATTAACTAAACTATTGCTCGGTTTGAGTACTTTATTTAATGAAATTATACAAGAATGCATTAGGACCCGGTATATGAGACCACGGTTAAGATTCTGTTAAAGACAACTCTGGCACTAAGAATATATCCTTTGATCGCACTAAGAGTATAACATACATCAAACGGATACTCTTTGTATCCGTTTCATGTATGTTATACTCAGACACAGAACAACAATTTGTGTATCACACAAGTTTTGTCCCATGTGGGGTTAGAACCCACAACACTTAGTGTAGTGTGTGTAGTAGAAATGAAACGGGTATTCGTGTTTTATCGAGCTGGCCTCGGATAGTAGGCATGTGTCTCGTCGGATTCCGGATATCTAGTTACTATAAGTTACAAACGCCATATTTTCATTAACAAGAACATCAATGACTGCACGGATGGCGTAGTGATTTAATAAAAGCGGTCGCCACGCCGCTTCCTATTACACCGAGTGTTGTGGGTTCAAACCCCACATGGGACGACACTTTGTGTGATCCACAAATTGTTCTGAGTTTGAGTGTTCTTTGTGTCCGTTCATGTATGTTTGTAAAGTCTCCCGCGACATAGGATAAATTCCTAATTCGGGATTTGTCCTTTAAAAAAAAGAAAAAAAGATTAATATATGCACTATATGCAAATTATGGTAAATATTTACCTCCCCACCTTCTTCAGAAAAATATCAGGGTAAATCTTTCTTTGGATTTCCACAAACATCTAGTCATAATGTTTAAAAAAATAACCAACAACCAACTAAACATAAGGGCCACAATCGCGATCAACTCGCACTGACTTCAACTAATAATCAATTTCACATGAAATTGCGTGACTTTCTTGACCGAAAGTTAGATTACTGTTTTTTCCATTTGCTGCCTCATTAAAGGAATCTCTAAGCGTGTCGTAAACAGCATGAGACATGTCAGACCGTCTCTTGATTAATACTTATTTTTGACAGTAGTTGAAGATTAACTTAGATTAGATTATTAGTTGATTAGATTATTTATTAGTCGGAAAGATTTCCAACATTTATCAACATGTTGATTTTCTTAATTCGATTAGTTAAATTACTTAACTTAAGGATTTTAACGAGGCCTTCACGTGGGATAAATCAGGAGTGCTTTGCTTAGAGAGAGAATTTCCGACACGCAAGACAAGTAATCAACAATTGTCAGTAGAATATTCGGCAGTCAGTAATCCGATTACCCAGATGGAAGTTAGCCGGATATCCGGTTAAACAACTATCCGTTTCATTTAGGTATAGCGTAACGGAATCACAATCATAGTTTATTAAAAAGGTAAAAGTTAGCTACGTTCTACATTTGTTTTAAACTACAATTTTTTTATCATATATACATATTTACATATGCAACTTCTTCTTTCTTCTAGATCACACAAAGTGTTGTCCCATGTGGGGATCGAACCCACAGCACTCAGCGCAGTAGCAAGCGGCGAAGTGACCGCTTAAACCACTACGCCATCTGTGCAGTCATCGTATCTAACCTTTACCTTTTTTGTACACAAATCCACCAATATTTACATGGAATAGTGCATAGAACATTGCTGACAAAAAGATATGTTTTTTAGGTAGATAATTAAAGTTTTAGTCATCTAAAACCATTATGCCAACTGTAAAATGAGACACCTATCTTTACTTCTTATACTAAATATTGGATGATATTATATAATCGACGGTTTTTATAACATCTAAAGCTTATTATCGGTGTGACATTGGCAAAGTATCTTTTCTATAAACGTAAAACTGTTTACAAATTACAAATCAATATTTCTCATTCACGCTATCAGATATATCTACATCATCGACGGATTTAAAAAGTGACACGTTATTACAGGAACACACTTCGCTCTCGGACTATGATGTTGTCGTCGCGATCGAAAACAGGTACCACTTTTAATTACTTTTCGACGTGCCACGTAATATACCATTATTGACACCCTAGTAATTTGCCTACTGTAGGTTTTTGCACACTTAGCTAAAATAACACTTGTAAATGGAGTCAGTAAATAAAAATGTTTATAATCTCTAAGAACGTGACCTTTACGTTTCCTTATAAGGCGTTCGTGTGATGATAGTCGTCTATGTAGGCAACGCTGTCTTAGGCCATGCTGGGGCCCCAGTGCACACAAGTATTTAGGGCCCTGTTGGATAGTAAAACAAAATGAATGACTTTTAAACTCTCAATCCTTATCTGCCTACTTAACCGATCAACATAAAATTTTGCATTCACGTCGTCTGGGATACAAGAATAGATATTCTTAGCCTTACTTTCATGACAGAAAAATTAAAATACAAAAATATTCGTCAAAAAGTTCTACAATTTAAAAAACTACGCTTGCGTTGGATAGGTATAGACCCCAGTGTAAGACATTTTACAAGATCTTTCTTCTTATGATTTGTATTTTATATTCCTCCTGTGCAAAATGTCAAAGGGTCACGATTATAGTGATTGCTTGATATAAGATAAATCTAGCCAATGGAACAAATCAATCCGCTTAATCCAATCTAAAATGTGCGATCACTTTCAGTTCACATAGGTACACGATACATATCAGGTGCCTCGGCCACAAAGGGCGCTGACACAAAAGAGTGGGGCGGTCGCGTTGCGCTGTGGGGTATAGTGCCGCTGTGGCGGGCCACCCCTCCAGCGGACATAGTGCTCGCGTTACGAGCACCCACACTGTCTGACTGTTGGCCTTTTATGTGAGTATTTTCAAAAGCCATCAAACTATTCAACACAGTCAGCAAAAATAAATGATGATTAGCCAACTCCTTATCGTATTCATACATATCTTCAGAAGTTTAGATCTTACGTAGGTGCATAAGAAATGACTACTGTCTGAAATGTTTTAATGATAGCTCTGGCTTTATTCTGCTAAATTTTAGTCGTAACTACGGTTGTTTTTTAATTCAGGTCAGTAGAAAATGTTTAATTCATTCAAAACATTTAACATTTACTTTGTGTATTCTGAACAAAGAGAAAATTCGTCTTATTATAAACTCAACAACTTAACTTACATTTTCAGAGGTTCATATGGTGAAATAGAAATACAATTACCTAAAGTTCAAAGGATAAGCTACGTTACTGTTGAACACATACGCCCTGATACGGCGCTGAGTGCGCCGAAGCATTTCATTATATATGTTAGTAAAACCATATTTGTATTATGTTTCTCAACAACAACGCTAAAACTACAGAATATATATACAGCTGGGTACATATATTCTGTAACTATGTTGTTCTTGTATTGAGCTTCTCCTACCACGCGTAACGAGTATCACGTTCGCTTCCATATGTCCCGAGTTCATTGACTGAGTTATATGTAGCTGCTGTGAGGATGGATTAGATTAGCTAGTTCAGTTCAATGTCTTTTAATAAAATTTTGTAGTTTATTCTACAGTAAAAAGAAGTAGTGATTGACGGTAAGCTTTTATTTTCTTAACTGTACTGACCATTCTGAAGTACCATAAAAGTAAGATTTTGGACCAGAGCGAATACTTAAAGTATTTTCAACTTTATTTCAAAACTACTTAAAATGTCCATCGGACTCCGATGTCGAAAACCGGCAAAGAACCTATCTCCCTACTAGCCAAAATTAAAATTAAACATAGTAAGGAGTAACTAAATAATGATCATAAAACTTTCTTAGAAAAAAACACTTGCAGTCATTCTTAAATTTTAAGAATTAGCGAGCAACTACATGTTATATGTGTAATATGTATATAAATGTTGTTAAACCGAACCGAGTCACACTGACTGATATACAATTTTCAGGGAGTTCTCGCAAATAATACTCGGATCAAAGCTGTAAACGGACAATATCGTGCCGAGGGCTCAGCGAAACAATACTATCAGTTATCCCACACGCAAATTGAATGGAAGATGTTGATATTTCGAGTGTTGACGAATCAAGGCAATGCAAAGTACACTTGTGTTTATAGAATTCACTTGTACGAAAACGTAAATAATGATTTAGCTAATATTCATGATATTAATAGTAATACCTGATGTATAAATATATAAGTTAACTATTCCAAAATCTTTTAAGTGGTTTAAATGTTGTATTTAAATAAATTAATTAATATTTCTATTGCAATGAAGACTATAACAAGAAAATTACGACTCTCGCACGATTTAATTGCGAGTTAGCACGCCAATATTATACAAGATAAATCTACCTGAAGAATAACCGCGTGAGCTAATGTTGTAATGTAATCACTCGAGTACGCTCAGGCACATGAGCTGCCAAAGTGGCTCAATCTAGAATTTGCCGAGCAAATCAGGACACGCACAAGCTAGACCGACGTTTTTGTCACTACTCAAAGGTCTACTACATATACACTACCCTAGCTATACTATAGATATGACAAAACGCTAATAACTGGCATATTCTTGATTTTAATAGTTAGTTAAATAAAAGACTTATTATTTACGGTACCTATGTTGTATGTTCACTAAGTCTAAAGAAACGTAAAAAAATGTGATTTGATGAATATTCCATATGCATTCATCATCATCATCATCATCAATGATGATGACTTCATATGGAATACTTATCAAATTACAATTTTTTCAATACATTCATTTTCTTTTAATTCCAATTGAATAAAAACTGTTCCTACTAATTCCAGACATAAACAAAAACTTTTACATAATAATATTACCATAGATATTTTTGGGTTATTACTTATTGGATTAAGAATACAGTGTCACCACCCCTATTCATCCCGTGGGTGTCGTAAGAGGCGACTAAGGCAGCAAACTACGCAGGACAACAGCACTGCAGAGGGAAAGAAAACTTGACACAAACCCTATACCAACCCGTCTGGCCAGCGTAGCCAAAACCTCCTTTCTAAGGAAAGGCCTATGTCCAGCAGTGGACTATTAAAGGCTGTTGACGTGACGACGTACCTACCTATTATTTGGTCGACGAAAGCAAGTAGATTGATAGAATGTAGGTGGTACAAAATAACGACTAGAGATCACCCACAATATATTGGAACATGTTGGAAAACCAATTTTATATGAATACTAGCTGGTACCCGCGACTTCGTTCGCGTGAACTTTGAAAAGCGCTGCCTTAGTGGGTTCGATACCCGGACCGGGCAACATTTTAAAGGGTTTTTCTGAGAGGAAAAATAGCCTAAGTTATTCCTTATGTAGACAGCTACCAGGGCCTGGGCCTACTGATGAGCCACTGCCATTACATCGCCACTGTAAAGACACTGAGTTAGTGTAGACTACCGATATTTATACCGATGCCAATGGCAGTACAATAGCAGAATTGAGGCCCTGGTAGTAAAATATTATCGAAATCTGCCCAGCCGCTTTGATTATTACCCGGAACAAAGAGACAGACAGACAAAAAAAAACCTGGTTTTTAGGCATAGGTATTGTGCACATAACCGTGTGAGCATATGAAAGAAGCCTATAATTTTGACATTACAGACACTAATTTTATTTAATTATATGTATATACTTAGTATAAGTAGGTACTACATAGAAAATGTAATACAACTGTCATTACTGAACTACTAATAAACTTATAAACAGAATAACTGAATCCATCAGTGATTGAGTTGTATTCTTTCAAGATGTTTATTAGGTGTTTGTCAGGTTATAGAGATATGTGGACAAGTAGTAAAATAACAAAACATTTTCACAAATTAAAATACCTAAATGTAAGTTTTTTACGCAATTATTTTTGTTTGTTTCCTCAGGAAAAACCTATTCTTGTTCCCAAAAGTACTATGTATGTAATTAATTACAAACCTAGCAAAAATCGTTCTCAAATCTCTTGATCCTAATGTTTTATTAAACGAATTCTTCCACTTAAATTTCAAACTTCGTTTGTTTTGATTAACAGTAGGTGTTTGAAGTTTCCATTTTTAAGATACGAGTTTCTTAATTTTTATGAGCATATTATGTTTTAAATTCAAAAAAGGATAATGAATAAAAGTCATACAATTGTTTTTACGTTATATTAACCAAAGAAAACACAACGTTTACGACGCACTCCAGTCTTGAGCAGAACCTCCCCACGATGGCGCAGGTGCAGCAGGTGCAGCGGGTGCAGGAGCGGGTGCGGCTGTGCCCCACTCTTCTTGAACCTGGTGATTACATATATGTATCTTTGAAATAGTAATCTAATAATTCCATTTCTGCTTTGAATTAAATAACTGACTGCAGTTTTGAATAAGGATAATTTCTTAGACTTAAGATGGACTTCAACATTTAATTCAGTAACCGATTTCTTAAAAAAATTACCTGTGCAGCCCAGTCTTCCTGAGCGGGGGGTGGTGCGCCGAAAGTAGCAGCTGCCGGTGGTAGCGCAGCATCCTCAGCCCATGAGGTGACAGGCTCCACATTCTCATTCCAATCTTCATGCACAGGTGGTGCAGGGACCTCAGGTTTGGCTGGGACGACGGCCTGCTGTGTACAACAAATACCAGTTTTAGATTACAAAACGAATACTTGATTCAAACTCAAGCACATGTTTTCTCAAATTTTGGCAAGTTCATGTATTGACACACTTTTATTTTAGTGATAATACAAAACATTGATTGTATTGCCATGCTTCTAAAAATGAGATCTAAAATAAATACCTGTTCCTTAGCCTGCTGTTCTTCCTTTTCACTCTCTTCAGGGTCACGGTAGAAGAAGAGATCTACAACAACATCCCACCGTTGGTCACGGGCAAGAACGCCACGCAGTCTTAGTACTTCACGGGCTAGCAACCACCACATAAGACCAATGGAGTGAGATGACTGAAAACAAATAGAAGAAAAAAAATAGATTTGAATCCTATGGATAAGTAATTGGGGGAAAAAAATTTCTTTTTTCATTATAAAGGATTATTAGATAAGTGGCTGGCAAGTCTTATTGTTTGAGCAAATTCGCACATTTGAGATGATCATTTGTTGCAAATTTGTTCTGATATCTTTAGAGGTGTAGTAGTAAATTAATTCGCTAGATCTCTATACATATCCAAAAATAAATTTCATAACTGCCAAGTTGCTAGCATATAACTGCTGAGCTCAGCAAGTTTTAGTTTCAAACAGAAATGCAGGAGCCACAAGAAATGTGACAAATGTTATTCCGCTGAACCTTTGAGCTTAATGTATTTTTAAAAGTGATATGCTCAGACTTGGATGAACTTATCAAAGCATGGTTCCATTATCTGATGCTAGTTCAAGTCAACTATGTAGTATGTTACTTACTTGTTCTTTTGAGTAGTACTTTAGTGAGAAGACTTGAGAAGTGAATCTGTTTTTATGGTTGTCAAGACCAAGATTTATATTTTATAATGACAAAGCATTTTACATATGTTATAATAGGTCTTTACATATGAAATTGCCGTTTTGTATGCAATAAGTAAAAGTACTTATTTTTTGGTCTGTGTGGTGACGGATTAAGAATACAGAGTGTCACCACCCCTATTCATCCCGTGGGTGTCGTAAGAGCCGACTAAGGGAAAAAACTAGGCAGGACAACAGCACTGCAGAGAGAAGGAAAACCAAAGCCAAAACCTCCTTTCTAAGGAGAGGCTTATGTCCAGCAGTGGACTATTAAAGGCTGTTGATGATGATGACTTATTTTTTCAAACTTTTTTATTTCTGTTATTCGAAGTAATCACCCATGCAATCGACGCATCTTTGCCAACACATTGGCAGTTTATTGATGCCCTTCTTGTAAAAATCAGCTGGACGGGAGGCAACAAACTCTTCAAAGGCATTTTGTACTGCCTCTCGGGAATTGAATTTTTTACCCACTAAAAAGTTGCTTAAATTTTGGAAAAAGTAATAATCGGTAGATGCAAGGTCTGGTGGTCACATCTGCAACCAGCTTTGGTCAATCGGTCGTCCCCACTGCTCCTTAACGACAACGCGTGACCCCATACTGCGCAACAGACAGTCTCCAAGCTGCAAGAGCTGGGGTTGGAAGCTCTCCCTTATCCGCCATACTCACCAGACCTTGCACCTACCGACTATTACTTTTTCCAAAATTTAGACAACTTTTTAGTGGGTAAAAAATTCAATTCCCGAGAGGCAGTACAAAATGCCTTTGAAGAGTTTGTTGCCTCTAGTCTTTGCATTTGTGATGCAATTGCATGGGTGATTACTTTGAATAACAGAAATAAAAAAGTTTGAAAAAATAAGTACTTTCACTTATTGCATACAAAACGGCAATTTCATAGGTAAAGACCTAATAATACCCTAGTTATATCACAATATTCTATAGAAAAGCCTCAATTCCTTGCAATTTTAATGGGTGGCCATCTATTTCAGTGCCTTCTTCTTATCCTAATGATATTCTCACTAGCTCTTTCATAATTATTTAACAAATCATAGAAGTCTACTACAATAAGCAAAAGAAACAATAATAAAAGGGAAAAATAGTTATATTACCTATGAAAAACACATAACACTCACCTTAGTGTTGCATGGAATTGCAATGTCAACAAAACGAAGAGGAGAGTCAGTATTGCAGAATGCAATAACTGGAATGTTGACGTACGAAGCCTCAGTAATGGGCTGGTGATCTTGAGCAGGGTCCAAAACAATCAGGAGACGTGGCTCACGGAATGCAGCTTGAATCTGTTGATTGATAATTTAAAATGATTACTTTGGTAGACATTTAAAGGATGCATACATATACTAAGGTCAAATAATTCAGAAATGGTTGTAATCATATCTGCTTGTATGCAGTCAGTGGTTCCTTAGTTTGTTTGTCATCATTTATTGTATTATTATTAGTATTATATCATTCACTGTATATCTTGTACTAAAGCAATATAATAAAGTGGATTTCATTAACAACTTCAGTTGTAACAACTTTGTCATACAATTGGTTGAGAACAGTTTTATCAAACATTGCTGAGGGGCCAGTCAAATATGTACATGACTTTCTGCTATTTTGGATATAGTGACTTCTAGATATAGAGATGTTAAAATAGTCCTTAATCCTTTCAGGGAGTGAGCTTTAAAATACCACGCCTGGTTACAGTGGAGGGCTTAGGTTTTCATCACATAGTCAATATCATATTCTGCAAGTGTGGGTTTGCTGGCAAAAAGTGATTGCAACTCCTATTTATGAAATACTACTATTTGAAAACTATGAGGGGGAGGGGGGTTTTGGTATATCCAATGATCACTGAGGGAGGAAATAGTAAAAAAATGGATCATGTAGCATGGATATGTTCCGTTAGTAGATTACCCTTACACCTGAGCTCTCTTAAAATACACATGCATTTGAACATAAATAACAAAAATTCAACATTAACATAAAAAAAACACGAGATTTATATAGTATACCTGATTAGTGAATGCACCAGGGGTGAATCGTCCAGCAATTGGAGTAGCTCCTGTATGGGCTGCAAATTTCAAAACAGCGCGCTGTCCGAAAGGACGTGATGAGATGACGAACACATCAGCAGGGTTTTCAATAGCTACTACGGCACGGGCAGCCAGTACCAGCTTCTCCCAAGTGCGACGTAAGTTGATTACATGAGTGCCATCTGAACGGCGCTTGTACACATATGTTTCCATCTGTAATGTATCAATTGCATATTTAAACTACAGGCCATAAAAGAGGGATAGTCAAACTGAACGGTGAAATTGTCAGTTGGGAGAATGAATCGTCAAAATTTTCAGACAAACATAATGGAACGGATTCTTAGATCATCATGTTTTGATACCTTTGAGGTTATGACAATGTTTGTAATTTCAACATACCTGGAAATGAACATTTTCCGATCCCAAATGAGTGGTAGCGGCAAGCATCTTCGTTACATCCTCCTCATTGAGGGCAAGTATGTCTAATCCTCCCGACATCGTTGCGTTTAAATGAGTTACGACTAAACCTAAAACCAAAGTCACACTGTTGTAAGTTTCATCCTGACACCTATATTTGCAAAACTCGAAATATAATTATTAACAGTAAATTTAACACATAAGGATTATAACTTCATTCATTGGTATTATTACACTGAAATGATTTTGAAGGAAATTAAAGATTTATAAAATACTCACGCGTATAATGCCACTGGGAGCCGATTCGGACTAAAAAGAAATGTCAATCGTAAACGTCAAAGGTAGTGTCCAAAAAATGACATTTGTCAATAGTTAGTATTGCCAACTGTCAAACAAGTAAAAATGCAATAAATAATTAATTGTTTTAGGTTATATGTTTAAAAAGGGGGATATAAATAAAAGAAAGAGATTTGGAAGAGAAAGACATGCCAATAACAGAATCATGACATGAAAAATTATTGACTGTCAAATAAGGATATTTGTCTTTGGCTTTACCACAGTTTTACATAAGATCCTCTTTCTACTCTAGACTTACTCGAGACTCTACTCTATCTTTAAGGGCGCTACACACGGCTAAGATACTATAATATTTATCTTAAGATACAATATCGCTCGCCATACTATCTCTATCTTACGATACGAAAATATGAAATAAATATTATCTTCGTCGTGTGTAATGGTCCATTGAATAGTATGGCGAGCGATATTGTTTCTTAAGATAAAATATTATAGTATCTTAGCCGTGTGTAGCGCCCCTTAATGATATGATATTAACATTTTGGTTGACTTTTTAAAGTTTCTTTTTTACCACTTCTATAATTTGTCGGTTAAGACTAAATCACTACCATATACACTCCAATATTTTTGGCAAAACTCAGAATTAGGGATAGCTCTATTTTTGAGTGTGGGCTTGATGAGGGAAAGGCGAACCATATATTTTTTAATTGTCCTAGAACTAAGTTTCCTATTTATGAATTCATTCCTCCTCATATTCCTCATCCCACGTCCCTTAAATTACTCTTATCCTTTTACTCCTTTTTTATACATTCTAGGTAAGTGTTTAACTTTAAACAAAATTAAATTATAGTTTTAATATTACAGTGTAATATTTGTTTTTGTTTTACTGGTTATTTCTTATTTTGTATATGTATATATTATTAGCTGTATATATATTTTACTAGTTTAAGTTTTATCATGCCTGTAAAAGATAACAATTTATTCATTCTTATTCTTTCATTCTCAAAATTATTTTTTGGCTCTACCACAGCTCTACATAAAATCCTTTGACAGTTAGTCTTTCAAATACATGACATTGGCGAAATTGTGGTTACACTCTACCAAAAAGCCATTAACCAAAAGTTGAAGTTTCTTTTTAACTGGTCCAATAAAAGCTTCAAAATATGCACTTAGTTCTCAAGCAAATATTATTTTCTAAATATACGTTACATATAAATTATACAGGAAAAAAAGAAAATGTAACTTAAGTACAATCCTCGATTTGAAAGCACATGAGTTGGACTTTTCCAAAATCAGTAGTCATAGTAAAATTATTTATACTAAGTTTTTTCGATGTGCTATAATTAACGATTGTGAAGAAATGAGTAGCAGGAAAATAATTAATATACACGGCGGCAGAATAAGCTATAATCTTCGTATAAGCTCACTTATCGTTTTGTAGATTTTGTATATTAAGGGAAATCATCTCATACTAGAAATCTATATGTTACTGTAGAAGCCTTAACTACGGTAAATCTTAGAAGTCCCCAATAAATCTTAAGATTTACTGAAAAAAGTTGGTAAATGTATGTGTAATGTAGTATTAATACATTTCTGTGCTACATCATAACAAATTAGCACATACTCACACACACACACTTGCGCTTTATAATACAAGCATAGATGAACACAAAATTAACTGGGATTACCACTGCGCTATCAGAAATAAGTGCAACGCTGTTTCAGGTCCATTATTTTTTAAAATCAGAGCTAAGTGGATTCTTATAAATTAGTAGAGAAAACAGTTTAGTATCAAATTAATGTCTGATATTCAGGTCAAATTATATTCGATACAAATAATTTGAAGTATAATAATAATAAGGCAAAAAGTTTCAAAGAAAAATGTGAAAAAGTAAAATTGCATGTGCAAAAATCATATTTAATCAGGAAATCAAAAGCAGTTTTAATGATTAAGATGAAATAATTAAAAGATACCTACTTGTTTATCATCTGATAAAGAAGAAGAAACGCAAAAAAAAGTTCTGCAATAAATGAAATCCGTGTTACCTTTCTTATTACTTTAACTGCCTCGGTGGTGCAGTGGTAGCGTATGCGACTGCTGAACTAAGATCTCGGGTTCGATTCCCGGACCAAATGTTTGTATGAACTGCAAATATTTGTTTCGGAGTTTGGGTGTTGTCTATGTATTCTATGTATGTATTTACAAAAAAAAGTATAAAAGTGTTCTATTAGTCACTCTAGCTTTCATAGTACAGGCTCTGCTCAGTTTGAAACTAGTAGTAGTGTGTCAAATGTCAGAAAGTATTATTATTACATTTATTTTGTATTAAATTCAAAATTTGAATCGCGTCTTATATGCGACTCCATTCAATTAGAATCGCTCAAAATCTGAATGCCATGTCAAATGTTTATGTAGGTGAATGTTTTTATTTCCAGTTTAAAAGTTTTTAATTACTTGTAGACATAGTTAGTACAATAATAATTTAAATTATTTAATTATTATTTTGTTCATTGTATATTTCATATTTGTAGAAATTCCTTTTTAGATCCTATGTGTAACCGAATTTTGCGAAATACAACGAGAGGTAAAATATAGCTGTACGGACGGGGCCTTAGGGTAGGGGTACCGAATCGTAAAGATTTTATTTCTATTCCGATATGGCAATTCTGTACTAGAATATTTATTTTTTAACTAAGCAACATTCGAGTACTTATGTGACTGGTGATGTGACTGATGTGTGTTCCGTGAACGGAGGAATATTTTTCCCGTATCGGCAATAAAACGCAATAATTTAACGTTATTCTGTAAGACAATACATACATTATGATTACTTTACTTCCCTGACCTCAAGCGTTGATAAGTGTTTGTATACTTTGTGAGTTATTTTGGTATTCGGTGACATTTTAGTGAAGTGCCTAATTTAATCATGGAGGCTATAGCCAAACACGATTTCACTGCAACTGCTGATGATGAGCTCAGCTTTAGAAAGAATCAGGTTCTTAAGGTATGTAAACATTCCTTAGATTAATGAGAATATAGTTTTGTGTCGTAAAATGACAGGTTCTTTCTAGAATTTTTGGCATTACAGATACTGAACATGGAGGAAGATATGAATTGGTACAGGGCTGAATTAGACGGAAAAGAAGGACTTATTCCTAGTAATTATATACAAATGAAAAGTCACAGGTAAGCACGTATATCCTGAAAAAAATCTGTTAAAAGCTAATAATAGTCATACATAAATCTTACGATTAGTGTGGTTTGTAAAACAAGATAGGTATTTATGTTTAGAATAACAAACACCCGTTGTGTATAACGTAAATCCAGCTATTTGTAACATGTTGCTATTCCGACTTGTATCAAGCACTAGCTGACCCGCGCAACTTCGTCTGCGTCTCTCAATAGTAATAAATTTTCTCCGTTTTTGAAACATTCTTCATTGGTGCTCCGCTCCTATTGGTCTTAGCGTAATGATATATAGCCTATAGCCTTCCTCGATAAATGGGCTATCTAACACTGAAATAATTTTTTAAATCGGACCAGTAGTTCCTGAGATTAGCGCGTTCAAACAAACAAACAAACAAACAAACTCTTCAGCTTTATAATATTAGTATAGATTCAACTATATTTCGAAGTTGTAGATGTCTCTTAAATTCTAGTTTAGAAGTTCAAAACTTGAATGTATAGAAAGTATTAATCCAGTGAGAATAGAAAATACCATTTCTTAAAATAAAAATAATGTTACATTGATATAGTATACAGAAACATTTTGTTCTGTACTTAATTCCTATTAGAAATAAATACTACTTTAAGTAGTAGGACAACTTAATTGCTACTACAGTCCCACTTCATCTACTTATCATTATTATTACTACTATAATATAAATAAAATGCAAATCATTTTAATTAAAAACAATTTTTTTAGTTGGTATTACGGTAAAATCACAAGAGCTGATGCAGAAAAACTTCTAGCGAATAAACCAGAAGGTGGTTTCTTGATAAGAATCAGTGAATCAAGCCCAGGAGACTTCTCCTTATCTGTCAAGTAAGTAATGCATGAATAATGTAGTTATCAAAATGTATTTATTCTTTTCAGAATGTTCGTGTTTTCCTATTGAGTTATGAATCATTACTAAATGTTATAGAAGTTGATTTAACTATTACTGCTTAGAAAATCCCTGTGTGTAAATATATAAATATAGATTTCCTGTCACTCAACAATTAGCAACTTGAGTATTTCTAACTTCTATTGTAAATATTATAATTATTAATTTGTAGTCCACAAAAGATGTTTAAAGCATTTTACAGATTTTCATAGTTAATGCTATCTAATTAGATTTAAACAAGCTTGACGAAAGATGATAGGATTGACTAAAGAATTAGGCAGTGCAGTTTACTTCAGATATTGCACATATTGTTATGATACTACATTGTCTAAATATTATTACTGCATTCAAGAAAAAATATATGTTTTTTTAGATTTTAAATTATTCAGTGTTTGTTTGTAAGGTGCTTAAAGTATAATATAGGCATGTAATTTTTCTAGAAAATTATGTAATTATTAGTTGTTATTTTTACTGTATTTTAAAACAAACTATTTTTTTTTTGTATGCCCATTTTCATAATTACAGATTTAGAACTAAAAAAATTATGTCAAAAAAATTATCATAACTTTTTGAAATGGCTGCCTTGTAAAGTAATAAATAAACAAGTAATAAATGTCAGATCCGACACTATTCTACGACAATGACAATTTGAAATATATAGTGTATATTTCTATCACAAAGTTGTTATCAGTTTATGCAAAGGTTGCCCTTGGGAAATTCTATCATCATCATCTGCCTAACCTTATCTTAATTTTATTTGGGGTCAGTGCAGTAATTATGATTCCTCCATTCTAATCTATCATTCATCATTTTACAGTTTATGCCCTTCCTAGCCATGTCCCTTCTCACATCCACCTTTTGTTTGGCCTTCCTCTACTTTTGTGCCCTCATACTTAGCACTTTTTTGGCCACATTTACTTCATCCCTCTTGCATGACATGTCCATACAAAGATAAAATTCTATGTGAACTGATATTAATAAGTGTATATTGTATAGAAATAAATGATAGAACATTTAGCAAGTAGACCGGTATTTTGTTTGAGGCAAATAAGTTTAGAATAAAAGAGTCAGAGAAACATATTATTGTAAAGCACTTGAGTAGCAAAAACATACACTATCCAAATTTGGTCATACATAAATATACATACGTAAAGTGGTCATACATACATAACGGGTCTTGCAACCATAGATGTAGTACTAAAACTTTATGAATGACATGTTTAATGGAGATTTTACTTCAGTTAAGTATTAACTTGTGTATTCAGATATTGATACAAATCATAATACTACACAAAAAAAATTTTTATTACTTAAACTGTTTTTTTTTTGTTAATGGGGTGGAAGATCATTGAATAGTACATGTTGGCTTATAGATTCCAAGATTTACCTGCAGGTTTGTTAATTTTTAAAATTAGTTCTATTTTAAACCACAATTGTATTAATCATTAGTTTTTATTCATCCATTATCCTTTCCTACTTACTTTCAGTTTCATAGAATGCTCTGGGGTTTTTTAAACACAACTCATTTATGACAAATCTGTATCAAACTGGGGCAGATATCCTCAATGACAACAGCAGTAATTAAAATGTGCCATTCTATGAACCTACTCCAGAAAAAATTTGCTATCTGCGAATTACATGTTATGCCACTAAGCATTCACTCAAGAAATATAACCTAACCACACACTTTGAGACACGCAATAAAATTAACCTTTTTTCACAAAACTTTTTAAAGTATTTTTTTCTGAATCATCTTCGTTTTTATATTCATTTTGTAAGTACCAAATATTAAATAGATAGTTCACTCAACTTATGTTTTGACTATTTACTAACTTCTGTAACAGCTATGACATACCAAATTGTAGCAATCAGTGTGTCATAGCATGATTGTTTTTTGTTGTGTTTGGAACATTTTTTTTTTTACCAAGTAACACACTTCTTTAATGTAGGTCAATTATGAACATCTAAAACTGTATAAAGTTAAGACAAAAGACTTACTCTAACTTGAAGAAATTAAAAAAATAAAATATAATGATAAAACAAAACTGACGCTCAGAATAGATAAAAACAATCAATTGGTGCAGAGCTTTTTCAGTTTTGGAAGTGTACACTTAACCTTTTTACATATTATATTGATTTTACTTGAGCTATGATACTTCCAATAGAGTTTTACTTTGATTGGAAAGTGAATGTGTGTGCTTAACTATGTACTTCTTCACATATTCTTAATGTTTCAGCTTCACTATGTAGGTCAGTTGGAGCTGGTACGGACATTTTGGATCTTTTATATGTTTTATTGACTGTTTAACTTGTTTCTGCATACAAATCCCATTTCCACACAAAAACAATTTAATCTAACATCCATATTTCACTTATTTCTTATCACATGGACTTTTATGTTCTCATGTGATTGTGCTAATGGACTGTTTGCTATTCAAATACTTACCACAGTATTGAGTTGAATGCAGTTGTGACCACTGTGTAAACAATAATAATTAAGTGTTGTTATCAAATTTGTTCTCAGAAGTGGCTATTCAAAATAAAGTAATAAATATATCTCATTGTTAGTGAATATACTCATATACATAAAGTATATTAATGAAGTAGCTATTTTAAAGCAAGGACCAGTAAATGTATTTGCTATTATGAAGTAATCTCTCATAGTTATAATGTGCATGAATTTAATTGAATATAATAGAAAAAAAAACACTACACTTTTGAAGTGGCTTTTAAGCGCATATTATAGATTTAAATTAACTTAATATTATCAGACAGACATAGGCCACGTAAACCTGGCCACTTAGAACTATTGAAGATTCAATCTCCATGGAAACCTTAGCCTTGGTCCATTGCTCTATCCGTTCGTTACCCAAATTTACTTTGTTCCTTTGTCACAATCTAAAAACAATTACATTTCCAAGAAGGGTTGTTGTCAGGCATACAGACGGCCACAATAGAAATCACTCAATACCCTCTGTAATTGTCGACCTCGGAAAATACTCAAATCGTAATTATGCTTTTTTGTCAATTTGATTGTGTAAAAAGTAAACATAATATTCACAAAATGTCTATCTTATCTAACATGTTATTTCCTTCCTAACAACTTTAAATGACTACAAATCCATCTACAACTCCAATACTTGAAACAAAATATGTCCAAGAAAAACTTCTAATTTAGATGAGTTCATCAACATCATCAACAGCCTATACTAGTCCACTGCTGATGAGTTATTATATTTTAATTGCTAAGCGGTTTCCATTTCTGTATTGTAGCCTTCCAACAAATATGTAACGGAACCAAAAAAATCATAAAAACATTTATCAGCGTCCGCAGTTGTCCAGATCATTTCCTTATAAGCATAATGTGAACTGGTGAATAAGTCAATAGTGCCTAACGACATACGTGACGCCCAACAAACAATAAAAATCATTACAGACTAAATTGGTTGTTAATAAAAAATAAGGTTCGCGCTTCGGGAGCGCGCCATGTCACGACTCACAAATTTACTTTGCGAGGTTTTGTTTTGCCTTCATTTTGTCTTAGTCACATTCATGTCTACTGGTTCCATAATGATAGTCGAGGGCTAACTAACTAACTTCTTAGAGTAATATTATGCTAAATTCTTACTGAAACGTAGTGTATTGATTGATCGGGGGCAGACATTTTACGTCTGTTTTATTGTTAGACGAATTTAAACGGCCTAAATGAGAGGCTGTTGATGATGATGATGATGAAATGAATTTGTGCGGTTCGCATGTAGATCTTCTTGACCTATGTAATTGAACTGATCGTAACCTGTCTGCAGAATATTGTTAGGTGTTGAAGGAACACTAGGAAAGGTAAACAATTAGATATTTTTAAAATCCTAATATTATACATTTTGTTGTCTGCATAAACGTATGCACGTTAGAAAGTGTTGATAAAATCAGTATGTGTGAAAATTATAAACACCTATTTAAAAAACAGTCATAACGTTTGTGAAGTTTTCTCTATTTGAAACCAGTTCCCCTGTTAAATAGTATGAATCAGCGGTACGGAGATTGCGCTGAAACCAGTTTGGGATATATATATTAAACTGGCCTGATGAGTACCGTTTGAAATTCAAAATTATTTTAATTTGTCGAAAAGCATCGTATAATAAAAATAATTTGGCTAGACGTAGCACATTTCATAGTGAACTTTTTCCCAATTTACAAAAGGAATAAGTATTGAAGAGGAGGTCATTTATGAAACAATTTTCAGTTCTTTTTTTTTTTATTTGGGATTGGATTTGGGGAAACAAACGGGAAGCAGTTCCTGTTTGGTCCAAAACAGGAACTGCTTCCCGTTTGTTTAAACCCCCAATCCCAGTACTTCTTAGTGTAATTCTCGTTGGGTTCCACTGAAATAAGGAAACAATAAAATCTCTAATGGTTTAAAAGCTAAATACCAGGTAATTCATCATGCTGTAGGCGCATTTAAGCCGGTGATATTGATTTGTTTAAGAAAGCAAATTACCTTAGAAATTTGAGATAGAAACTTAATTGCCGTTCGGTCGTAATCATATTACACTAGCTGACCCGCGCAACTTCGTCTGCGTCTCTCAATAGTAATAAATTTTCTCCGTTTTTGAAACATTCTTCATTGGTGCTCCGCTCCTATTTGTCTTAGCGTGATGATATATAGCCTATAGCCTTCCTCGATAAATAGGCTATCTAACACTGAAAGAATTTTTCAAATCGGACCAGTAGTTCCTGAGATTAGCGCGTTCAAACAAACAAACAAACAAACTCTTCAGCTTTATAATATTAGTATAGATTTACTGGTGGTTTACCCATGGCCTTCACCCTTTAGTCTGAAGGTTACTCGTACAAGTATGTACTTTAAAATCCGGTAAAAACGAATGGAATAACCGGGTCTAATCTATCAGGCAATCACAAGGCTTTGAATGGGTAAATGATGTAGATATATATGTACAAAACTATTAATATGACATAATAGACAGAGGTGTATTAAACCCTCGCATTTTGCTGACTATATTTTTACGAAATTGGGGACAAGTGCACTTTAGGCATTAGATGGTGAATATTTTAAATAAATTAAAAGAAACGTTCTTCATCGAATGTTAATTTGGAAATATAAAACCATGACGTATTTCACAAAGGGCTGGGAACACCCTCCGACCAATTGCATCATTTTTGGACAACGCTACATATTTCTTTAATGGCGGGCCTAGCTAAGCTTGACCTTCTGATATTACATATGTATTATTACAAACATATATATAACTATTATATGTAATAGATATGTATCATTACAAAATCAACAATTCCGTTAACATTACGTCACGACTCAATTAGTTGTACAAATATGTTTACTCAGAGTTTATTAACCGTCAATCGATCTATCTTTTCTCAGATGTCCCGATGGCGTACAACATTTCAAGGTGCTTCGGGATGCTTCCAGCAAATTCTTCCTGTGGGTTGTAAAGTTTAATTCTCTGAATGAACTAGTCGACTATCACCGTACTGCATCAGTCAGCCGCCTTCAAGATGTCAAGCTTAGGGATGTTGTGCCCGAAGAGGTAAGTGTATTTTCTGAAATGGGCTAATTCAAGATTTTTTATTTATTATATAGGAATTGAGATAGATGAATTTAAATAACATTTAAGTTCGGTTTTCGTATTTCTTTGATTGCATTTCATGCATGCTTCGGACGCATCCTTTCTGTTGTTAACAAAGTGAATTCTAACTCCTTGTTTTGTTTTTCCATTTGAAACCTATTTACTGAAGCATAAATATGAAATCAGTTTATTGTTTCAATAACCATGATAAACGTGAGATGATGCGTTTAACGCTCAATATATTCCGTGTTTACAAATTTGGTAAAAGAGAAAAAATGTTTTGATCATAAATATATTAGAATAAAAACCTATAAATTTGACTAAAGTAGACATTTTTGTATTTCATTCTGAATTAGTTAGCGTGTACCCATGATTTAAGAAACAAGCTTGTACCTTGAGAAAAGATATCATTGTATCTGAGCGCCCGGTCTTTACCCGTTGCTTTTAAGGAACTTTAGAGTCTGTGTTACTTCATCGTTTTTAATTTTTATTTAGATTAGAAATACCTAAGCGCACCTGCTGACTATAGATACTTTTCTTCTCTTAGTCGTTGTTGTATTCTTTGTTCTTTTATTTGTGCGTGTAATTAAAATATATCTCACTAACTGACCCGGTAAACGTCGTTCTGCCATATAAATAAAGATATAAATATTCTCTTACCTACAACAAACACCGCGATCGTGAAATTTATATTAGATTATTTAAATAGAAATCAGTCTTTGTTATATCTGGCAAAGGTGGTAGGTATAAATAATTTGTTATATAAAAAAACTGCCGATTTCTAAGAAACTTCTAAGAAAGTAATAGTCGGTAGGTGCAAGGTCTGGTGAGTATGGCGGATGAAGGAGAGCTTTCAACCCCAGCTCTTGCAGCTTGGAGACTGTCTGTTGCGCAGTATGGGGTCGCGCGTTGTCGTGAAGGAGCAGTGGGGACGACCGATTGACCAAAGCTGGTTGCTTGGTACTCAACAGACCTTGCACCTACCGACTATTACTTTTTCCAAAATTTAGACAACTTTTTAGTGGGTAAAAAATTCAATTCTGGAGAGGCAGTACAAAATGCCTTTGAAGAGTTTGTTGCCTGCCATCCAGCTGATTTTTCCAAGGTCATCAATAAACTGCCAATGCGTTGGCAAAGATGCGTCGATTGCATGGGCGATTACTTCGAATAACAGAAATGAAAAAGTTTGAAAAAATAAGTACTTTCACTTATTGCATACAAAACGGCAATTTCATAGGTAAAGACCTATTATAAGTATTACTAAGTATATTTTATAAAGTATCTCTTTAGGATCCTTGTTTAAATAATAAAATTTATTTTCAGAACGAATAGACACTCCGTCTTGTGTTTGTAAGATATGCGTAAGGCTTATAATTTTAATTTTGCCGTTTCTAATTTAGAAAACTTGTACGTGAAATTTAATAATAAGAAAACCCACATAACATTATACAATGGCATAACAGAACGAGGAATAGAAACGCAAAACAAAAATCGAAACGTATAATGATAGAAAAGTCCCTTACATTCGATTTTAGTAGCACATCTCACCACATTTGCGTAAAACTGTCTATGTAAATACTCGGGCGCTGTGACCCTGATACAACTAAAATAACTCGGTCAGAATTAAGAACTACGATACGATGATTACAAGCATACTACCTTCTTCGCTAATAACACATTTCGAATGCCCTCTGAATTCTGCAAAATTACAAATGTTAAACTTTCAAATAAAACTTTACATACGTCATCAGTCATTTAATAACTTGGCAGGAAAAATATAGAATCGAAAAATTAATCAAGTAATATTAAATATTAAAATAGTGAACTATTTAGATTTTTTCCTCGAGAATTTGTGGACATAATTTTAGATAGTTACTTATCTTGCCCAACGTAGAAGTTGGATCGCTTTTTGCTTACTTTGTAGTTCTTTCCTTTTTGTAAACCTACCTATACAAGGATGTTAGCCAGTAATTTGTCTGTCCTCATATGCACAAACTGATTGAGTTCTAGGAAGATACTATATATTCGAAATAGAGTCACACACAACTTTCTACTCCGGAGATTTTATTACTTCGGTCGTTCATTTAACTGACATACGCGTGCATAAATGAAGATAATGTGCGCCACAATTTTCCCACGGCGAGTCGGGTAACTGCATTTCATTGAATGATTACTGACTATAATGTTGGTTAGTCATATAATTGAGTATTTGGTTGCATAATTTTTAAGTACTTGGCTTTGAAAAATCCTGTGTATGCATTGCTATGACTATTTTTAACTCATGTCGTAACTAGTACATATATATTTTATGCTCTACTTGGCATGCCGTACTGTCGTTAGAAAAATCTTTTTTTTTTATATAATTGTCTTCTCTAATTCTTTATGAAATCATATCGTTCATGGGCGTCTCTAGGATTTGGTTCCGAGAGTAATTCCATATCATTTTTTTTATATCTTAGTGGAGTTTATACCCTCAAAGCCATTTTCTGGATACGCCAATGCATAGTATCATAAAACTTTTACAGGCCTAACCTAGTATCGGACTAACGGTAAATACCTATTTATTAGCTAAGTGTTAATAAAAATGTTATATATATCAACAAAAAATTAGGAATTTCCTTATACCTTACTTGTTAATGCCATTCATAAGTATCTATTTTATCTATTTAATTACATAAAAGTAGAATAGGTTCGTAAGGCAACAAGTAAAAGTGACTTTAAAACATTTTCTTGATTTATTTCGACATCGAATAGAGTCGAGTCGTATCAGTGTTTAGTACCTTATAAATTTAAAGATAAATACCGAAGTGATGGCAAAAGTACGGGTGAGATATAACCTAGTAGATTTGAATGGGAATGTCTATAAAATTATAAATATAAATGCTTTGTAATTATCTGTAAATGCAACCATAACCTTAAATAACGATGCTTTGACTGGTGTAAATTAGTGACTCTAATTCTAACAGGAAATTTTCAGCTTTGTAATAAATTAAACATAAATCATTTAAATTCATTAATTAGTAATGATTTATGTTTAAAACAAACTCAAGATGAAACGAGATTTAAGGGGTGAATTATTACAATAACTTAATTCTTTTGATAACTGTAAACATATGCCCTAGTGGCTAGTGTATTTTTTTTACTTACCCTTACGAAGCAATTGGTGGGAAACTGGTGGGACGTAGCAGGAGATGCCGAACATATGTAAGTTTTCCAAGTTTTGTACATGGTGGTAGCTTTCAGTAAAAATGTGTGATATCTGGATTCTAAAATTAAAGAGCATCAAATTTCCTAAATACTGTGGATTGTATCGTTCTTGGTATGTGTAATAAAGGTATACCATACATCTTGAATTTAGGAAACAGCGTAAGTCAATAACCCAACTCAACCTGGCAAAACAATAGCAGAAAGCAACAGGCGGTGTATGTTCTTGCTTGAAATTAGACGTGTATTTCAGGTGAAGAACATAGTTGGACTGCGATATTTCATTTCAGTTGCAAGATAAAATAGGATTCTTTCAAACCTTTCTGGTAACGATTTTAGAGGATCGTCTATAGAGTTGGCTGTTTTTTTTTATTTTAAAATAATTGTTTACGCAAATATTGCACGCACGGATGACGTAGCAGTTTTAGCGGACGCCTCGTTGCTTTCTACTGCGCTGAGTGTTGTAGGTTCGATCCACAAACATCCACATGGGACATCGCTGTGTGATCCACAAATTGTTCTGAGTTTGTTTGTTATTTGTGTCCGTTTCATGAATGTAAAGTCCCCAGAGACACATTACGCATTAGGAACATAGAATGCGTCCCTAATGCGTAATGTGTCGCTGGGAGATGTGTATTAAAAAAAAGCCGTGTGGTGTCGCGGGACACCCGATAGGAACGAAGTTGTGACGATCGAGTAAAACTGATCTATGAAAGCGGCTATTACCTACATATTTTTCAGTTGGTTTCTAATTAAAACAATTTATACATTGGTAAAATCTTGAGAAATGACGTCGAATACAATATTTTTTGATCAACCTAAAAACAAATTTTAATTTTACTGAGATGAAAAGTAATGATTTCCTATCTATTCGATAGATGGCGCTGAATGACTGACAAGTGACAATTCAAAATAAAAAGTGTCGTTAAAACTTTTCGTGAGATTTTTTTCCGTTTAGCCCCCTTTCACAACGGCGCGATAAGGAACTTCGTTCTAATAAAACAAAAATGTCATCTATGTCAACGATACTTCATGATTTTAAAGTATTAAAGATCAGTTGTTAGATCGACGTCAGACCAATCACTCCATAACTATATCCACCGTAAGATAATCGTTATCACAAATGTACAACTGTAGCTGTTATTGATGTAGACGTTAATTTACTGTATCACTTAGTTAATTGAATTACTTCAATTAATTTTCGTAATTGGTACGTAAAACTGACGTGTACTCACTTCGTTAAGCTAATGGCTTTATACTCGTGCAAGCAATATATAGATAGTTCAACTCAGATGTGCGCGCGGCCCTATGTGTGGGTAAACCTTGTACATATACAGTGACTTTGTGTGCGTGACAAGAAGTACAGTCGTACAAATACAAATATGGTTATTTACGGGTTATATACGGGTTTTTAAAAAAAAGAGTTATTTCGTAATGTAATGTTTATTTATTGAACATTATTCTGAATCGCTACTTGAAAAATCAAATGATGAATTTTCGGATTCGCTGCTCTCACCAAGGTTAATTATGAATTCTGACTCCATGTCAAAATGTCTATAGTATTCTTCTTCTTTCTTTTGTACATGTCGACAAGTATTACCCCACATCCCTTCATCAATTTGACTTAAACGTTCATTTATGAGTTTCATTATTTCCGTCACATTTTGGTCGACATTATGCGAAGCAATATAATTGTTTAAAATTCCCCACACATTTTCTATGGGGTTTAGTTCAGGATGATATGGTGGCAGTCGAAG